CTTTCGGAAAAGTGACAAGCGGTGAGTGTGCATTTTAATTGGTGAGCGATAGATAAGTGCAGAGACAAGCCATTTAAAGTATATAATATTTTTTCTAATATATATTGCGGTTTAAAACACAAAAGAATATTCTCGTACGAAGAATAATGATACGAAATAAAGAATTCATAACAGTTGTAAGAAATACTATAACGAGGACACGTAATTATTGACGATAATGTCTGTCATTGAAAGAAAAAGAATATTTACAAGCCACATCTTATTGTTATTTTGTTCGATATATGCGCTGTTAGAAGGCAATTGGTAAATCTATACGTTTTAAATGCTGACAAAAGAACTAAAAGAACGACAGATGAGAAAAGCGAAAAGAGAGAATTAGCATGCGTGAATGTTGTAAAAAAAAAATTTGTACGTCGCGTCACATTTAGGCTTACCAACAACGAGCTCGCGTAGATTGTTATAGCTGAAGACTTCGAGTAGCCTAACACGATTCTCGTTGGAGAAAACGTTTTGTGCCTTTTTAATGCAATGACGATTTCGTGCATTCGCTCGCGGCGCGTTTCACGGTGACGCGTGCGACGCGATATCACGCGACTGCCTTGGTTGAGGACACCCGGTACACTGCGGTTCAGGAGCCTCGAAATCCACGTCATAAGGAAGGCTCTCGTCGCCGCACCTGACCTGAACGGAGCACGCGTGCCGGCCTCATCTCGTCGGGGGCGTCGGCGTGTCGTGCCTGAGCCTCGCCTCGCCTCGCCTCGCCTCGCCTCGCCTCGCCACGCGTCTCACCTCTCCTTCCTCCAGTCCTCTCGCTCCGCTTCGTCTCGCTACTCCAAGTCAAACTTTGGCGAACATAAGCTCGCTGATTCGCATGTCTCGCTAGATCACTTCTCGCCGCTCACGTCTCTCGGCAGTCACTGTCTGGCTCCGCAATACTACGTTTTACCCCACCATCGTACTATGATTTGCCTTGACTCGCTTTTCACGACTATACTTCCCAATGTCAAAAACGCGATGTCGAGGCGCGATAAGTTGATAAACCACGCGAGGCCAATCGATTATAGATATCATCTGTCATGTATATGCAATATGCTGACAATGTCCCATCCTGTGACAATTGTATTTTTAACTCGAGATTGCCACATGTAAGTGGTACATGGAGAATTCTGTGTTTTAAAAATATTAAATTTCGTAATAATTAATAATAAATTAAACAATCAATTTTGAGGTGGTGTGTTGCTCGGGTACGTGGCATTAAGTATACATGCGTATACCTTATTGGACTATCTTATCGATTGTTTTAATCTTATCAATATTAATTAAGGTTAAAAGTCGTGAATATGCAAATAACTGCGCTGCAAAATAACTATATATTTTTATGTTTATTTAAACAACAAAGGATCGCAGTCTTTTAAATTGTGTATACTATATTGCCCCGATTGAAGTATTTCACTCGAGAAAATTCGTTGTTACGTTCATGTCTCGTTTAACGAACGGTAATAGTTTATCGACATTCGCGTAAGAATATATATATATATATATATACATGGACTTTTTGTACGAGAGTGCCAAAATATATTTGAAAATAAATGACCGATCGATAAAATTATCTCCGCGATGCGTCAACATGACGCGACGCAACGCGACGCCATCGAACGCCATTTGACGCTATCCGATGCGACAACGATTTAAATCTTTACTTGTCGGTAATTTAGTATACACCGCCTATACATATAGGTCCGAATTCAGAACGCGTTTTTTATTGATAAAAGCTTTTATCTCTGAAATTCTATAGTATATGCGTAACGTAAACTATAGCATGTTAGAGCGCTACATTGTTATAAGCGCGTTCTGAATACGGGCCATAATATATATTATGTAAAACATTGAACCAATATCTCTGTCTCTCTTTCTCTGTTAATAAAAAAAGTTTTACACAAATTTCTAATATCTTTTATCTCGCTTTATTATAGTCTTCATCTTGTTTATAATCAAAAAACTATATATAACATATATATATAATGTTGTGAGAGGTAAAGTGCGACGAGATATTAATTTTCACACGTTCAAACATGTGCTGTGCTGTAAGCAACATTATCGCGATAGCAATCAAAAAATAAACACTAATTAAAAAAGCCAATAAAAGTCGAACCTCCAAATGTACGTAAGTCTTCTGTTCAGTTATTTTTATTTTAAACGCATAGAGATAAAAGTATATGAAATCTGCAATGGTTTGTACGACAAATGGGTGGGATTTACCGTTTACGAAATAAAAGTGTAAGTAAATGTTGCATTGTGTCACTATTGCGATATATTTATTCAGAATATTTTCGAATATTTCTCAATCTCTGTCGCAACTAAATCGCATTAAGATAGGAATTGGTATTGGTAAAGAATTTACATGTACAATGTAAGACTAATCGTAGATTAATCCCCTTTAATAATATTTTAACAAGAACGTTTCAACTCATTATTAATATTTTACGCCAATAGGTATATCGGATCACGTACAACATTTATATTATATGTGCGTGTGTGTGTGTGTGTGTGTGTGTGTGTGTGTATACATGTGTATGCATAAGATATTGTATTGTAGGGACGCGCTATATCGATGTCGTAACGATCAGAATCGTTAAAAATGTAATTAAAGATTGGTAAAATCTTCAAGATTTTTTAAACGTAGAAGATCGAAATTCTATACGATTTGACATACCAATTTCACGTATATAATTAAGTGAATGTTGATTATTATTATCACTTGAAAACGCCCATACTACGTGTGTGCTCCTTCCTTTCTCTATATATTATTTTTAAATACTATTTGTTTTATTGGAAGGAATAGTCTAATAAAAGTTATTATTTATCCTTTCACAGATTATTTGCGTCTCGTTCCTTATCTTAATAGCCATCGTTACTAACGTTAAAAGTCGTCAGACTCTCGTGAAGCCGGCAACTCGGTATCGTAAATATTATATGAAATACACCATTTTTTTTCTTTTTATATTAAAATATTATTTTATACTCATTTTGTAGATGCCATACAAGGCTGCGTACGTACGGCCGATATTAATGCAAACGTATATGAAATAAATTACTCTCATATCTCTAATTTGGACTTGGACACGATTACATGACACCGATCGATTCGTATCTAATTGGAAATACGTATTATATGTTTAGTCCAACTTATAAATTCGAATTTCTTGGATCGGTTTATGATTTTATACTTTCGGATGTCAAATTATACTCGATCTTAAGTGTCAGTTCGGTACTCTAACAAAGAATATTCGAAACTCGTTACGCAGTCGTTGTTATCTAAACAATCTAATGCTTAATTCTCTCTTTCTCTCTCTCTCTCTCTCTGTAAAAGCCGTAAATATTTTTCGTATTTTCTTTCTCTGTATGAAGGCATCGTAATGTTATACGTACATGTATTCCTACGACTATAAGAGATATTTTTGGAATATAAAATTTTTCCGTGAAATCAATAATACTTAAAATATCGTAAGACGATTTTGACTAGTTTTAAAGAACCTTCATCTTGTATGGCGTTGATACTCATCGCACTGGTGATGCAGCAAAATGTTTTGCCAAGTAATGTACATTCTACTTAAAAGTCTTCAGAATGAAGAAAGACTTTTAATAATTGCCAATATTTCATCGTGTTCACTTTTACTGTTACTAAATATCGTTACTTTTAATTTATTATTGTATAATGTGTATGTATACGATTGTAAATCGCTACAATAGCCGTGTTCCGATATACACTGCCAGGCTGTACTGAAAATCTACAGTATACGTGAACTATAGATTTTCAATACTGGCAATCGAAACACGGCCAATAATGACGTTATGCTCCCAACGTATTTTTTTCTTTTAAACAAAAAACGAACATCTGTGTGAGATTAGTACAAGCAAAGATTACACTTATTGATTACGAAAATAAATGTGAACGCACACATCCGCATGCATGTACATACGTGTATGCTGTATAGTAACGGAGGTAGTAGTCTACTTGTAGCTCGTAAAATTGATAAGGAGGCAAGTTTTTATGATCACAGAAAAGCTATATACATATGTCTATTTTATAGACGTGTTTTCCATACGAAATACGCGCATCGCTCTCTAAACGATTAGAAAAAAGAACTTGCCCGTTATTACAACTTTAATTTTTTGCATTAGCTTAAGAGAAACTTATTACAATAACAAGATCACCGATGGTATTTTTAACAAATTGAAAAATATGATCGAACGAAATGAAATTTATTCAATTTAAATTAATTTAAATTTAAACTGAATTACAATTAAAACACGCGAGAGTGTGACTCGCGAAACTCGTATACGAAGGACACTCAAAGATAATTATAAAAATTTGGGGTACGTGGAGCGGTAATTAATTTACAATATTTTTCGCGTTATCCAGAGGAGAGGGGATAACTTGTCAATTGTCAACTGTACAGTATACAGTCTAACTTGAGAATACAATTTGCTCGACGAAGAAATAGCGACTACAAGCATGCATAGAGCTCATACATTTTTTTTCTGCACACACAAATCAGGATACGACATGTGTCGATTTCGAACCGCTATATATATGCATCGATTATTAATCAGTATCCTGAGAGATTCGAAATTATACTTACAATTAATAGTTGCCGTGCAAAAAATATACATATAACATATGTATATATCTGTTTGGGCAAGATACATGCAATCATCAACGGCAACGTACGTGTAACTTGTAACGATCAACTTTCCGCAGGCTCTCTACTTTGACTTTATATTATTGCAAGCGGCACGTTTCTAATTTGTACATAGATAGTACTATATCGCTATTGAAAATATTACAAAAAAAGCTATGCTTGTATTCCTGAAATAATTTTCTTTGCGCAATGTCTAAGAGATTAGAAATTACCTGATAACTTTCATAAAAATTTCGTAATTAAAGCATCAACTGATAATCAAGAAAAATCGGAAAGTCATTTCACCAATGCAACTTTCTATCATTTTTTTTTTCTTTTACATAACATTCCTCTAGTTTTCTCACATTAGTTGTCACGTAAAGTCGATAAACTCGCAAGGTGTTTCGACAAATTATAGGTTAATTATAACTATGTAATACACCACAGCCGGTTCTAGCAACTCGTGTATAGCATGTCGCGAAATAACACTACAACGAAATTAAGGGGTGCCCGTGACAATTTTTGCAATCTGTGTTGCAATTCCTTTCATATTCTTTATAACACGCAATTCCAATTGCGATACAACTAATCGACAATCATTACGATAATCATCGTCTGATTTCTAGCCCCTTCCTTTTGATTCCTTCAATAAATACCGGCATATTTACACATTGTTTATCGCATCAAAATCCTTATCAGTAGTTACCCCTCCAGATTCGTTTCGATACTTTCGATACAAACTGATCAAAGGCATCACTAATAACAATACGCCGCTTAACGCAATGAACAATCCCGCCAAGTAGAAAGACAGATTGTACGTGCCTGTGATATCGTACAGCCATCCTGTAAAAAGGAAATTTTCCATTGATAATTCTGTCAGAATATGTTGTGTTCAGAATATTAAATTTAATTTTTTTTTGTTATTGTTATGTTTGTAATTATTTTACATTAATTTGTGACGACAATAAAATTTCGGGCCACTGCCACGTATAAGAATTTACCAGCTAACGGAGGGCCCATGAGGTTGGCGATTCCTTGAACGAGTAACAGAAGACCATAAGCATTGGTAAATCTGTCCAAGGTGATCAATTCGACAAGGATGATGCTGGTAAGACTGTAATTTGCTGCGATGAATAATCCAAAGGCACCAGAGATTGCACATAAAGTGTAATAGTCGTTGATAACTATTGGTATCATAGCGGTAACGGTACCACAGAGCGCCATGCATACAGCATACACAATAGATGCATTTACCCACGCCCTATCGCCAGCCCAACCTAGAAAAATCTGTAAAAAAAAGGTTCATTTTTTTGACGTTAGAAAAAAACTACCAAAACGTCATTTATTGAGCTGAACATTTCCGTCGCTGCTCACCTCGCCACCCATATTAGCGATTCCAATCACCGAAATCAGAATAGATGCATCCGTCTCGCTAAATCCAACTTCGATTGCATTGTCCGTCAGATAGACATAAGGCACATCGTACCACGTGTGCAAGAGAAAATTACTGACGGCGAACAGCAGAAACCTTGGATCGGCAAAGTACGAAAAGTCTAGCATGTCGACGATCAAGTCCCAAAATTCCCAAAGTCCAGCGTACCAAACGAGCTTCGTCTTGGCGATCGTAGTCATTGAATTTCTGTAGATATCCGGACAGCTTGAAGCTCTCAAACGATATCGATTGATGTTGAGCATGGCACCTCTGTAAGTCAGACTGTGTCGATGCATTCGGATATCCTTCAAATAAGCAGTGGGCAGCCTCCTCGGTTGTTCCAACGTGCTAGATCGCCTTAACGGAGTGTCGATTTTTTTTAGCCACCATAAATACGACGGTTCTACCGATTGATGTTGTCGCTGCTGCTGCTGTCCGCCGCGCAAAATTCGATCGTCACGGCCCTTGTTCTTGTCTTCAGTTAATGGACTAGGTGTAGTTAGAAATCGAGCCGAGGGGGTACTCAGTTGATCGTGCAGCGCCCCAGAATCGCTGAAACTCCTCGACGATATCAAAAGACTTGGATAGTTTTGCAGAAGCACGTTGTAAACGGTCTCGGTTTTATTCGTACTGAGCAATTCTAGTACCTCCAGAGGTACTCTTTCTCCGTTCTTGACGAAAGTAGGTAAATTCACTAAGCTAGAGAATAACTTCTCACCACTCTCCTCGCTGCACACATCCTGCGGCCGAAGATTCTCAATAATCATTGCATTGGCTGATGCGAAACCTCTTTTAGAATCGCCATGAGGTGTTTGCGTAGTCGTGTTTGCGGAACTGGTGGCGGAAAAGGAATCTGCGCTGGAACTCTGTATTTTAGATCTCTTCTTTTCTCGATTCTTCCTCCTCTCTTGAGTTTTCGCTTTTGCTCTAGTGGTAGTCCATTCGAGGTCCCGCATCAGACATCCACATACAGCGAGATTCGAAAACAATCCTGCCAGAATCAGCGTAGTTCCTCTCCAGCCGTACTCCGCTAAAAGATTTTGTGTAACAGGCGCAAAGATAAAAGTCCCGATTCCGCTACCGCACACTGATAGACCGGTAGCGAAAGATCTCTTTTTATCAAAGTAATACGCCACGATTACCACTGCCGCGACGAAACACAAGGATAAACCGAAACCTGCTACGATGCCGAATGTGAAGATGAGTACTTCCATAGAGTTCGCATAGGAACTGACAACAAAACCGGCTGTTGCTAGGATACTACCGGCTACAGATACTTTTCTACATCCGTATCGATCGGTTAAGAAACTTGCCACCGGTCCCGATAACAATGGCATCGCCATGAAGAGACTACCTATCCATGCTGTCTTCGACTTGCCCTCGCCGAAATAATTAAGAAATTCGACGTATATTACGCCAAAGGAAAAGGTGATGCCATCCGCGATCAGGTTTACCATAAAGGAGGCCGCTACGACGACCCAGCCCCAACCTCCATCGGGAGGCCTCGCTTCGCAAAACTGTCCCAAGCTGGAATTGTCCTCGGAACTGCTTGTAGTAGACGTGGAGATTGATGGACTTGGATGTGGTCTTTCTTCAGGTGTGTGACGTAACTGCTGTTTTTGAGACTCTTTGTTGAATTGCACGTGATGCTGCTGCTTATCTTCCTTTGGAGATTTGCCGTTTACGAGCTTCTCAGTGCTCTTTTCGGTCAACAAATGGCTCTTGGACGACAGAATTCTGGTAGGGGACCCGAAAATTGTACTCCTTTCATTGAAAACGCTCTTCACTTTCTGCGGACTAGATGCATCTTCCCTGTAAAGGCTGTTGGGTCTCTTTGGTGAATTTTGCATATTTTGCGAATCTTCTTTTAGCTCTTGACGAGCTTCCCGACGTATCCTTGAGCCCGATTGCTCCATGATTCGTTCCGAATCATTCTCCACAAATCTTACTGCATCTTCTTCTTCTTCTTCTCCTTCTTCCTTTCGCGCATTTTCCAATGACTCCGAGTTGTTTCGGAAGTCATTGACGTATTCTGATCCCCGAACCGAATCCATAATCGTCTCCTCGTGATTGTGATCATCACAATTGCAATTATTTGGATGGTTCGACGTACATGAATCTTTGTTGATGATTTCATCATCGCTCGTTTCGATATACGATCGCTTTACGGTCGCATCATTCGTCGTTTGTTCGTCGAGTCGAATCTGTTTGTCTCCATTATTAAACTTGGTCCACTCGGCCATATTGAAGAAACGAAGAATGTGAGGTATTCACTTCTCTTTCGAGATATCAAAATACTTGCGATTCAATTTTCCTCTCCGTGAAACTGATACCGTATACGATACGCACATATCAATATATACGACACATTCAAGCAATCACACGCGGTAACAAAAAACTCGAGCAATTGTATTTGCAAGGAATTTTGGGCGGCCCCTTCTCCCCTCAAATCGAAGCGATCATCAATTTAATAAAAGTTTAATTTCGTCCTTGATTTAAACAACGGTAAACAAGGCCACTCGTAGAGCTGCCTGGTAAACTGACGACGTAATGGTAACAGGGATGCTGACGACCAGGTCGATGTAAAGTTATCTGGCGATTGATAGTCGGCACCCGGTCGACCATGCAATGGTCCACCACCATTGCAATTGCGGCTCCGGATTCTCCAAGTCCAAGTAGCACTTTGATTACTTGGGACCACCTCCTCCTCCGCGAAACGTTCGTCAACCCAGGCACCCATGCGGCGAAACGTACTGCTTCGGTTCTAGTGTTGTATTCTACAACAAGAAAAGCCTTGTTGTCAACGATATACATGCATATTTGCGTCATACTTAAATGTTCTAATTGGTAATTAAAATACAGATGAGTGGATGGATATATAGATAAATAAAGAGGATATACAAAAGGATGAGAAAAGGTAAAGAAATGTGCGAGTAGATTTCCATCAATAAATCACGATTGAGGGATGAAGGAAGCGGTGTGCTTATACCATTTGTATAATAGTCACGTTTCTATAATATTTATGTGCTTTTTTTCTGCAAACGTAAATTATCGCCAAGGTACTTACTATCGTTCTTTCATTCCATCTATCGTTTAAATTGAATCTATATATAATGATAAACGATATATCTCGTTAGTATCTAAACGCGCGGTAATAACATGATCAAAGTGACGCACGCAGTCGCGAAAAAAATGTCTCGCTCGGCTATATTTACTCGCTAAAGCAACATTCTCGAGCATTATTAGACGTTCCAAGTTCGATGTTTGGCAAAGACACTCGACAGTGTGACTCGCTTCTGGCATTTCGTAACCGGCCGAAGTAGCTCGAGTTAGAGTCAGCGATTATAAATGAAGCTCATTGTGTATGAGTTGCTATCAATTTAAGGATTTAACGGTGGCCACGATGATCACGCGTGTATCATACGATCTCTTTTCCTTCTTCTTTATACCTTCTACCTTCTTCATGCCGATTGTAATTTGTTTTCAAAGTTCTCGATTCGCCGCTAGTATACCGAAGTAAAAATTTCAAGTGCGTGCAAATAACAAAGGGTCAGTGTCGACTTGACGCAACGCGGCACGACGCCCGACGTACACAATACACATGGCTTGTCATCGTGCTGCGCCGCAATATTTCAGAAAACCTGTGGATACGTGAAAAATGTTTGTCTTTTTATTAGTTTTCGAATTTATTATGGGCACATCATATTTATCGATACTGCTAATTAAACCTTTTCTTTCTTCCTTTCTTCTTAATGTTACGTTCGGTAGTATTTAATTTATAATTAATTTATACAATCACACATTCCTTTGTTTTAAAATAATTTTTCATTAGGAAGTTACGAAAATCTAAGGATTATATAAGATTATCATGACCAAGTTAGTTCATTTTATTACGAAACCGTGGACTACTTTACGTCAAGAAAGATGCTTATCAAAAATACATACGAAATACGTAATCAAAGAAACCTGAGTTTCAAAATTAAGTTTACTGAATGTTAACTTATAAAATAATACCGTCAATTTCACAATATACTTTATTAAATGTCTCCACGATGTTAACGTCTTGTGATCTTTGATAAACCACATTACCGATTTGATTAAATTAAAAAGCCAGTTAAATATATTACAACTTCTGCGTTTGTCAAAAGTAATTGTAGATTTAACGTTGACCTACATCTTGTCGGGTTACTTAACTCACAATCAGAGGAAGACGACCATTTAACTTTTTGCGTGGAACCTTAACACGCGAACGCGAATACTGCGCACGGCGCATAAATAGCCGAAATGTACTTCACGGTAGAAATTCACGCGCGAAAAGTGAGCTAAACTGCCAAAAGGTAAACTACATTTTGAGACTTATACAGATGTAAGACACATGGTACATTCCGATATTATGGCATATCGTCAAACATAAAAAAATGTAATTGCAATTTTACTGGAAATTAATTTATATGTACATAGAAATAGTTTGTCGATGTAAAATGAGGTTTGAGAGACATAGATACAAACAAAAAAATATAATTACGATTTTATTGGAAATTAATCTACATAGACATAAGTTGTCAATGTAAAATAAAGTTTGAGAGACATAGATACTTGATATAGATATATAATTATATAGATACTTAAAAAAAATGTAAAAGAATTTGTAAAACGCTAATAAAAATAAGAATGTAAAATAATCATTTATAAAGCAGCTGTCTTGGCATCGGGTTAGAAGAAAGTTGATAAAATTGGTGTCCGATTTCGTATTATACTACAATCACGCGATACGACTTATCGAACGGACTGGCGACATATATATCTTCACTTTAACGATAATTAGGCGGCTTACTACTAGATTGTTTCTTTTATTTTGAAAAATTGTAAAAATTTCCAGCAGAGAGAAAGAGAGAGAGCGAAAGGGAGATAATCTGAAACTCGTTTATTTGTTCCGTTCGTTTCTATCGTTCGATATCATATGTAGGAACGGAGAAATAGGCGCCTTTGGCCGAGAAATTTTGCGCAATTTTGGCTTCGTGCCCGTTGAGCAGTAAATCAGGGTACATTCACGGTCTAAATTCAACGGTACGGCGTTGATATCGTTTACGCGTTAATGTTAGGGCGTGTTGTCGTGATATATAATTCCATCTATTCTATTGTCATATACGATCCATGAATACTTACGCGTATAATCACGCGCGTTCAATCCGCGGCAAATTGTTTGCCATAGTAAACATTACTATAATTCAATCGTAAAGCGGCGCAAGCGCGGTTCGTAAATCGCAAATAATTTCAGTTATTGAATTCAGTGTGAATACGTGAAACTGAGACAGTATACCATCATACTTCGCAAACATGATCATGCAGATTGATAAGAAATCGATTAATCAACGATTTGTAATGATTCGTCGTTGGAGCACGTGTAGTTAATTAGTGGCAAAGAGACGGCCTTAAAAAGAGGCATTTAACGCCGCGCAGGTTCATCGATCAATGTTAACGAAATAATGTTCGCTCATTGAGAGAGTGGACGCAATATTCGTTATCAGTATTCAAGGAGAACAAATCATCAACGAACTTGGAATCATGCGTCATGATAACGTGTGCTCATTCACGCGGAGTATCGATTATACTCGTGTTAAGCATCAGTAAGCAGAAACGCATTGCTCTGTATACGCTTCTACATTTTTTCAGAAAACTAGTATAACATGTCTAAAATTATTTTATATGTTCTACATATAATTCTCATTTTACACCAATCTAAAAAGTACTCCAATTTTTGTCACGCACAGTACAATAGGTCTGTTCTTTGTAGCTAAACCAGTAGTATGCACTTATACTTAAAATGAAACATATATATATATATATATATATATAATATATATATATGTATTTAATATATATAATATATATTTAAAATTTTACGAAAGGGAGATAGAAAGTTTTAGTGCGATCCAGTGCACAGCGAAAAGCAAACTTAATAAAACCCGTTTGACAAGACATTAAATTCGGAAGAATGTAGTGTAGGGCAAAGAGATAAATGTAATGCATTCGTGGAAAGAAATGGCATGTTGTTTGCTGCTGATAAATATCAAACAAAGAATTGTCTAAATCAATTAAACAGTTTGAAGTACATGTGACGGTTAATAAATTGTTTTGAATTGCGGTATGTGTTTTTCATCGCTGCAAAATTGACGCACGACTCATAAATACTGTCGCATCTTCGTTCTCTCTATTATCTCGGACATATTGTTACCGTTTATCGCGTTCGTTGAAGACAACGTATCTCACATACACATGTACTTATTAATTTTACGTTTCGCTTCAACGCCACACTCTTATTAAATGTTACATATATTCTTATACACGATCTGTCTTTATGGCGAGAACGAATAACGTAGATATATACTCAATCGCGCGATGGTCGTGTTAACCCACCATCAGCGATTTCTCAGCTTGTGAGTTGAAAGGCTTTAAAATCGTATTCTCTATGTGTCCACGGTGATAGAACTCGGTCCGAGTTCTTGCATCCAGAAATGTGTGGCCAATCGACAAGTAGTCTTCATAGGAAAAACGGCAAGTTGGTTGACTACACATTTCTCGATCCGAGAATTCAAGAGTTATAACGCGTGAATGCTTAAAATCTTCAACGATAACCGCCGACGAATTAAATTATTTTCGTTTAAGATAACCTTTGACGTTATCGAAGCTCTATACATTTATTTCCTGTTCGTAATTCCAATTCGGAATTAAGATCGGTTTTAACGTACATATAAGTAAGAGTGCTAAAGAGTGGTCTGAAATACACGACTGCTATATACATACGTATATGTGCGTGTAGCATTTCGAGACTATGTATATTCGATGCCAAAAGTATAGAACAAACCAGCGGTACGAAATAAGAAAAATATCAAGTAAACTGTAGGTAAGGAATTGACGAACCATGATGGATGGTACGATCGCTGCGCACACATTGCGTGTTATCCAAGTAGTTCGATTCTTGTTTTACGAACTGGCAGTACGTCGAGATCAGTTCAAAAGCGTAAGAAATGTTTGCACTCTAATATCAAACTAATATTCGGAGTTCGCGCGGATCGCTCGCGCGCGCTACCGCTTTGGCCTTTGCACGAGGTCGAACGCCCGCGTTTACGAGACGGCAAAATCTCCAGGTCCCGCGAAATCTCATTGCTGAGGAATGAGAGGGGTGGGGGAGGTGGAAAGAAAGGGGGGGCCGGGGTGGGAGGGGGGTAGTAGGCAGGGAGGCAGAAAAAAGGAAAGAATATACGCGCTGTCACGATCGTCGATGGCGACATTGGCGACGAAGCCAATCATCCACGAGCGAATTACGTTGACAAACGCGACGAATGCGCGATTAAGCGCGATTAAGCGCGTCTCTGTTCTTGGCCGGCGCGATTATAGTGATGTTCGCGAGGGAAAAAAGAAATGGAAAAAAAAAGAAAAAAAAACCGATCGTCGACGGTGAATATGTGAATCAGCGATCCGTCATCGCGTCCGCGAAACAATGTCATTCAAAGAAAGTTTTCCACGCACAGATATCGGGAGTACTTCTCGGCTGCGGAAAGATCGCCTCGCCGCTCGTCTTGCCGCGCGCGATCGGCATTGTGCGCGTCGCGCACAG